TCCCACGCCGGGCCGGCGGTGCAGACAGCTTGGCCCATGGCAAGGAGCGGGGCCTTGCTAGGGGCGCCTTTCCGGCTACCGGTGTGGCCGCCGTGCCGCGGCCGCCATCGCGGGCGCGGCAGCCGGCCCTCCCCACCGGCCGCCGCCCTTCCGGCGGCGGCGCCCTCCTCCCCGCCGCCGCCCTCCCCACCGCCGCCGCCGCCCGCCGCCCCACCGCCGCCGCCGCCGCCAGCCGCCCCGCGCCTCTCGACCGGAGAGGGCGCCGGAGTCATCCCCGGCACGGCTGCCCACCGAGGCATCGGATCGACCGGCGACGGCGACGCGCGCAGAAGCTGCCCGTGGTGGTTGGCGCCCCACGAGTAGACGTCTCCCTCCTCCGTCAGCGCGAGCGTGTGGTAGCCGCCCGCTGCGACGGCCACCACGCGCGGCGGCGCAGCCGTCGCCGCCGGCGCGCTCTCCGGCCTGTGCCGCGGGGGTAGCCTCACCGCACCGGGAGGGAAGAGCCGGACCGCAGCCTCGCTAGGGGGAGGGACCGGCGCCCAGCCCAGCTGCCCGTGCGAGTTGGAGCCCCACGTCCACACGCGGCCCTTTGCGGACAGTGCGACCGAATGCACGTGCCCGCCCGCGAGGTGGACGACAGAGTCCTCGGCCTCGATCCCCGGCAGCAGCAGGCGCGCCGCCGAGCCGTCCCTCTCTAGCCCCGGCGCCGCCGGCGGTGCCGCGCCCGTGCCCTCGTCCCCTGGCTCCCCCACGGAGTCCGCCTCGTCGTCCTCCTCGCCGCCGCCGCACGAGAGAACGGCCGGCCCTCCCCCGGCGTGCACAAGCGTGTGGAACCCGCCGCACCCAAACACCGGTAGCTCGCCGTCGGGCAGCAAGCCCGCCACGCTCGAAGCGAGGCCGGGCTCGGCGTCGTAGTCGAGCCCGCCGTCGAGCGAGCGGCAGAGCTGGCGCGCCGCGTTCTCGCCCCACGTGTAGAGCCCGGACGCCGGCGCCGCGCCTGCGCGCTCGGCTGCGCTCCTCGAGGCGCTCCTCCCCTCCGCCCACGCGAGGAGGTGGAAGCCACACACGCGCACCGCTCGCACGGACGCGTCGCCGCCGAGGAAGGCGGACGGCTCGTACCCGCCGTCGACGTCGGCCTCGTCCTCGGCCTCGTCGCCGCCCCCCCCCTGCCCCGCCCCGCCCTCCCCCCTCCTCCAATGCGAGCTTCCCTCGCCGACCGACGCCTCCGCCGCCCCGGCCCCCTCGGGCGCGCCCGCGCCGGCGGCCTCGTCGCCGAGCGCCGTCTCGTGGAGCAGTGAGGCGGACGGGTGCTCGCCCCACACGACGAGGTGCCCGCTGCGCGAGACGGCGGCCGAGAAATAGGCGCCGGCGGCGAGGAGGGACGGCGGGTCCGCCTTGGGCAGAGGCAGCTCCGCCCGCTGCGGCATCCCGTCCCAGCGCACGCCGCGCGTGCGCGCGAGCTGGTAGCGGCCGTTGTATCCAAAGGACCAGACGTGAGACGCGTTGCAGAGGGCGAGCGTGTGGTACTCGCCGAGCGCGAGCGCGGCCGCGCCGAACTCGACGCCTCCGAACGGCTCGGAGCTGTGCGCCTCGCCGACTTGCGACGCGTTGCTCGCCTCTGCGCCGAGTTGGCCGAAAGAGTTGTCGCCCCACAGCAGCAGCCGCCCGCCGCTGGTGCGAGCCGCGGAGTGGTACGACGAGGCGGCGACCTCCACCACCTCCTCGCCCGCGCGCAGCGGCAGCGGCACCGCCGCCGCCTCGGCAGCCACGTCAAACTCCGCCTCGAACTCGGCCTCGCTCGGCGGCGCGCCGGCCGCGCCGCTCAGCACCGAGGCGGTGAAGCCGCGCCGGCCCTCGCCCAGCTGGCCGTGGGTGTTGTCCCCCCAGCCGAGGAGGCGGCCGCCACTCGTGCGGGCGAGCGAGTGCGAGGCGGCCGCGGCGAGGCCGACCACCGCCTCGCCCTTCTCGAGCGGGAGAGGCACCTTGAGGGGCGTCTCGACGGCGTGCTCGGTCCGCGCGCCCAGCTGCCCGAACCCGTTGTCGCCGAACGCGTAGACGGCACCCGACGCGCCGAGGACGAGGGTGTGCAGCTCCCCGCACGCGACGGCGGTGGCGTGCTCGGGCAGCGGGACTCGCGCCGGCAGCGCGAGAGGCGCGTCCAGCATCTCCAGCTCGGCGGGCGCCACGCTCATCGGCGTCTCCTCAGGAAGCACGCCGCACTGCCCGTGCCCGTTGTCGCCCCACGCAAACACCTCGCCGGAGGCCAGCACGGCGGCAGAGTGCATTCGGCCTGCGCAGGCGTCGACTGCCGCCGCCGCCGCAAGCCCACCGCTCCGTCCCGGCCACCGCAGCGCGTACGGCTGCCACGCCGTGTACGGGAGGCGCGAGGCGGAGAGCGGCCGACCCAGCTGCCCCATGGCGTTGTCCGCGAAGGCGTACACCGCGCCGGAGGCCGTCCGCACGAGGAGATGAAGTTCGCCCGCAGAGAGGCTCACGATCCGCTCTCCGGCCGGTAGCCCGAGCGGCTGGGTGCTCCCGCTCCCCGCGCCGTCAAACAGCAGCAGCAGCGGCGCCGGAGCTGCAGCAGCCCGCTCGGCGGCAGCGGCCAAAGAATACGGCGCTGCAGCGGCGCTATCCAGCAGCGGGTAGGGCGCGCTGTCTGGAGGTGAGCACGACCCGCAGGATAGCGAGCAGGTACGCGCCATGAAGCCCGCGTTGTCCTCGCAATGGCCGACAGTCGCCCAGAAATAACAGTCGCCCTTCAGGTCGGCGCATGCGAGCGCCGCTTCCGGGACGGCATCGGTTGCTTCCGCAAGCAGGAGAAGCTGTATCATGGCTTCTACGCAAGAGGAAGGGTTTGCACTTTTTGGCGGGTGGGGTCTGGCGCGCGCCTCCCTTATGCGCGCCCACGAACCTGAAGCGAGCGAAAAAAAAAACCCCAACAACCCAACCCAACCCAAAAAGCACGGTTCTGAAGTTGGGCCCTCGCGCCTCGGCCTAAACAAGCGGCCAAAACACTTGCAACCCGTTCGAAACGCGAGAGTGGCACCGGCGTGTAGCCTCGAAGGGGCAGCCGGGGTCTCGCGTTTAGGGTCGTACAAGGATGTAAGACACAAGAAGCAGGGCGCGAGCCGCGCACAAAAGCCGCACAGAAAGCAAACCCACGTGACACAATCGAGGGAAGAAACTCATGTGAGACAGAGAGTCACGCGGGACAGGAGAGTAAAGTGCCAAAGGGGGCACCACAGTGCACAGAGAGCAGTTACTATCCTGAGGGAGGGTGTAGAGGATGTAGAGTGTAGAGCGCTGTAGAGCTGTAGAGATGTAGAGCGCTCTGGAGCGCTGTAGAGCAATGTAGAGCTGTAGAGCTCTACATCCACCGCGTGACGAACTGCCTCCGTTGTAGAGCGATGTAGAGGCGCTCTACAACGTGAAATCTCTACAACAAACTCTACATCATAAGCGGCGAACGAGGCACGGTCGCTCTCCGACATGAGGCGCGTTGCACTTGCCAGTGCTGCCCTGGCCTTCTGTCTGCCCGCCCAATGGGTGGCAGGTGCCTCTGCTGCTGTGGCATGCCTCGCGGCTGCGACTGGCCGGCGCCTCGGCGCGTCAGCTCGGCTCGGCGTAGCGATCGTGGCCAGCGCAACTCGCTTGGACTCAACGCTCAGCCAGGAGCTCCCGCACGCGCTGGCGCGAGTCATGGCGCATGCAACGCGTCTAAATGCTCGCCTCGCCTCGCGCAAATGCGACCGTCCTCGCAGCCGACAGTCCACCGCCTGCTAAAGAAGCACAGCGACGAATGCGGCACCGGCGACGCATGGCAGGCTGGTCATGACGCAGTTATAGGGTGTTGTGTGCCGTCAGAGTGACTCTCTGTGTGTCAGTGATAGTCAGGGCCGTCCATCAGAGCTCCAGTAAGCTCGGAGACACCCCATTAGTGCGACTCGACCTCTTTGAGTCACTGCCTTCCCGGCGGTTTGGCTGTAGAGCCTCTACAACAAACTCTACAACAAAATCGCGCTCTACATCGCTCTACAACGGAGGCAGTTCGTCACGCAGCCGATGTAGAGCTCTACAGCTCTACAGCGCTCCAGAGCGCTCTACATCTCTACAGCTCTACAGCGCTCTACGCTCTACATCCTCTACACCCTCCCTCAGTTACTATCTCCGCATTCCAACGCCCCCCCGTGAGTACACTGTGTGTAGGAGAGGGGGGGGGGGGGGTCTCCGAATTAGTACCCTGCCGGCGGCCTTCCGCCGCTGCAGTTCATGTACGCGCCCTCGTCCGTCTTTCTTTGCAAGCAGCGCGTGGCCGTGGGTGAAGAGCCAGTTGAGAACCCCGGCGACCTGTGTGCCATGATGCACTAGGTGTCCACCAATAGATTGCTCATTGCTTATCTCTGTATGGTCCGGCCGGGGGCCCACTCAGTGTCTCTCTCACTGTATACTGAGTGAGCAGAACATTTGTTCGTCGACCAAAAGTTGCCACGGCCGTTTCCATCGTTGGCTCACTACAGACGATCATATGTAGGACACGGAAGCGCAGGCACTCCAGACGAAAAAGCAGATCGAGGAGGGCGAACGCGCGCGTCGACAGGAAGTAGGTACCTAACCGCAGTCCTCCCAGACTGCAGCTCGCGTCCGCGATTAACCGCTCGCACCCTTGCGTTCGCAGCGGAAAAGCGCGAGCGGAGCATTGCGGCGCGCGAGGCAGCGCGACAGAAAGACGCGGCGCATGCAGGAGAGCGAACAGGCAGGCAAGACAAGCATGCGTCCAAATACTCGAAGAAGAGCGTGCTCCTGCTCAAGGAGGTCTTCGACGAGTACGATGGGGACGGGTTCGGCACAATCTCGCTCAACGAAATGCGGCAGTCCCTCATCCAGAAGAAAGAGGACAAGGCACGCGCGGCATTGCAGTCCAAGGACCTCGCCGTCCGGCAGGCAGCCGCCGGGATCGATATTGCCGACGTTGTCGAGCCTCTCTTCAGAACTTTGGACCGGGACGGAGACGGCGAAATTAGCTTTCCGGAGCTACTCGCGGTGCTCTTCCCCCTCGCCACGCACACAGAGATGGAAACGATGCTCTCCTGGGTGAAGAAAGGGCCCCAAGGCCCAAACGAGCTGCCGCTCACGATGTCGGAGGAGCAGCTATCGGAGCTCCGCGCGATCTTTGACATCTTCGACACCGACGGGTCGGGAGCCCTCACACTCCCAGAGTTGCAGGCAGCACTTGCCTCGTGTGGGATGACAAGGGGTGAGATCAGAGACCTGTTTGAGAGCGCTGACGTCGACCAGCGCGACGGCCACCTCGACTTCTGCGAGTTTGTGAGCATGATGACAGAATCAGAGTTCTTGTAGATTCAGTCAGTGTTACACACCTCCTAGAGCATGGAGGACAGGTCCACACGCACACACACGCTGCACACGATTGGCTCGGGAGCCGACACGAGGCGCACTGTCACCGGCCGTAGCACCGGGTCCGGACTGTTGGACACACAGCACACAACTCACAGGACAGCTCACGAGGTGGCGCTATGTAGAGGAGTTCGCTCGGGGACTGACGCGGGATTGAGGCATCACGTCTCCATGCCGCCGTCAAGTCGGAGCCAGTCTGCGGCGACCACAGCGCTCACCGCAGGGATATGCGAGCTTTTCAAAGTCATGCTTTTGCGCGAAATCCCACAATGGTGGATTTTGGGGCGCTGTGGGCCCCCTCGGCTACCGCATGGGCATGCCTGCGGGCGCAGGTAGAGCCGTACCAGGTTCGAGGTGCAACCCCTTGGAGTGTGAACGGCTTCGTAGCCCTCCGGTCTACTACTGAAGATCCGCAGGACTGGAGCGAAAAAAAAGCAAGCGAGTGTTCGAGGTGTTGGATACGTGGTTTACGGCTTTATAAGAGATCTGTATCGCATCCTGTCGAGCGCTGCGACCGGCTCAGCCAGGGAGCTCGCTTGACCTTTTTCAGAGCACCATTCTCTGCGAGCGCGTGCTTGCCTCCTGCCCCTCGCGCCCTCCTCCCGCTCCGCCATCGGCTCCCGAGCCCTGTGACCGGTGCTCCCCCGCATGCCCCCCCCCCCCCCCCCGGGTGGCGCGTGGCCACCCCCAACCCGGCCGAATCTCTCGGCAGCTTTGGTGGTGGGCGCCTTGACCCGCCCCGCCCCCTCACCGACCCTCAGCGGCGGTCGCCGCCATACCCGCCGTATCGCTCGCCGCCGCCGCCGCCGCCGCCGCCGCCGTACCGGTCGCCGCCGCGGTCGTAGTCCTCGTAGCGAGGCGGAGGGCCGCGGTCTTCGTACCGTGGAGGCGGCCCGCGGTCGTCGTAGCGCGGCGGAGGGCCGCCCCCGTAGCCGCCGCCTACTCGAGTATTGCGGCCGGGGCGAGGTCAGGGGCGGGGCCGGGGGGCAAAAGTTCGAATGTTGCGGGCTGCGGCTCGGCCTCCTCGGTCGCCGTAGCCGCCTCCGCCGCCGTAGCCGCCGCCTGTCGCAGTCGGGGGCGGGGTCGGCACAGGGGTCGGGTTGCTGGGCGTCCGTGGCGCTGCTCGGGTCCTCGGTCGGCGTAGCCGCCGCCGCGGTCGCCGTAGCGGTCGCCTCCGCCGCCATAGCCTCCCCCGCCGCCATAGCCTCCCCCGCCGCCATAGCCTCCGCCGCCATACCCGCCGCCCCCCCCTCCGTACCCGCCCCCTCCGCCATACCCGCCTCCCGGCCCCCCGCCGGCGTATCCGCCGCCGGCGTATCCGCCGCCGCCGCTGTAGCCGCCGCCGTAGCCGCCCGCGGCCGGCGCCGGCGCCTCGCAGCCGCCGTACACGTCGACGGCGCGGTCCTTGCCCTTGCGCTCGTCGAACGCCTACGGGCGAGGTGTGGAGGGCTAAAGTGTGGAGAGTGGTGGGCGAAATGTGGAGCGGCGGACAAAGTGTGGAGCGGCGGGCGAGGTGTGGAGCGGCGGGCAAAGTGTGGAGCGGGGCAGTGTGGAGTGGTGGGGGAGGTGTGGAGCGGCAGCGAAGTGTGTGGCGGCGGTGTGGGCGGCGACGGCGCAGAAGCGGAGAGTGTCTCGGGGGTCGTCTCTGCGCCTTTGTGTACTCGACGCGATCGCCCTCGCGCAGCACCTAAACCCAGGCGCGAATTGTGAAAAGAAGGCCGGGCGGCGGGCCGCGCGGCGGCTCATCGCAGCTGTGGATGGCGCTGGCGGCGGGCGGCGTGCGCGTGGACTCATCTCAGCTCGACATCTCGGCGAATCTCGGCGTATCTCGGTCAATCTCGGCGTATCACACCTGCCCGTCCTTGACCTCGCTCATGTGGACGAAGAGGTCCTCACCGCCGTCGTCCTGTACGCAGGCTCGTGGGCGCGTGAGGGGACGCTCTGTCTGCACGACCCACCAGGTCCGCGCCTGCTTGATGAAGCCATACCCCTTGTCGAGGTTCCACCGCATCGCCGTCCCCACACTCTTGCCGGGGCGCGGCTGGCCCGTGAAGCCGCCGCCGCCGCCGCGCTTATCGCGCAGATCCTCGCCCTCGACGCCGCCGTACACGTTGAGCGCGCGGTCCTTGCCCTTGCTCGCGTCGTACTGCTTCTCGAACCGAACGCTGTCGCCCTCGCGCAGCATGTTGCCGTCGCGGATCGCAGAGAGGTGGCAAAAGATGTCGTCCGAGCCGTCGTCCGGCTTGATGAAGCCGAAGCCCTTCTCGTTCCAGCGCAGGGCGACGCCAGTCAGCTGACCGCCGCCCTCGCCGCCGCCTTCGCCGCCGCCTTCTGCGCTGACGTGCCCTTCGGCGTCGGTGCCGCCGTTGCCTCCGTCCGTCTCCGCCGGCTCGTCCGCTGGCGGACCGCGCGGCGGGCTTCGCGAGCGCGAGCGCTCCTCGGCGGCGGCATCGCCAGCTTCGCGGTCGAGCCGTCCTCGGTCGTCGTCGCCATTTCCGTCCATGGCTGGTCTCGGGACCTACAGTCGCGTTCAGCGGATGCAGCTGGTGAACTCTTGCGGAGGGCGCGCGCGGGCGGCGCCGAGCCGCAGCGAGCTTCTTGGTGAGTTGTACCTAGGTACCTACTCGAGTACAAGGTCAAAGTGTGAATGGCCCTGTGTTGCGCACCTCAACCTCTCATAGACCAGCGCGCGGCGAAATTATTTTTTCTTCCCAATAATAAGGTCTGTGAATGATCAAACAGGTTCGCCTTCCTTCCTTCCTTCCTGCCTGGCTGGGATCGCGTGCGAGCCCTTCACGGCACAAGCTTTGCCTGGCGGCTTCAGCATGTTCCTTTTCCCAACCGCATACGGACGAGCGAGACCCCCCCTGTGAAAAGTGAGGCGTGCGGTCGGTACTCGACTCACAGGATCAAAGCTATTTGTGCGAGCTCCCGTTCACACTCTTGTCTAGCCCTTTCTCGGGGCCGCGCCTGCGGCGTGCTGTGGTTTCCTTAACGGAGTCGCTTAGCAACACCAAACAACTCTAACACTCAAACACATCATTTTGGGCCTGGAGCCCTGTTCACGCGCGCGCGAGACGTGCGGACAGGGTTGCCAGGTGAGAGTTCACGCCTCGCACAACAGAGAGAGAGATGCGCTCTGCATGGTTTGTGCGGCTCCGGTGGAGCGGTGGTGTGCCTGTGTTACTACCAGCACGTGCCAGTCCGCGCCTGTGTCGAGCCTGTCTGCTGTGAGAGAGTTGTTTTTGATAAATTCTTACTTAGTCTTAGCCAACTCCCTGGCCTCTTCGCAAGGCCTCCCGACCGTTCGAACTCATCGACGCGGGCTCTCTCGGCTACGGGACCGGCCCCAGCTTCGGCTGAGGGCTGACAAGCTTCCGAGCCCAAATCACTGTGAGAGTCGTGATTTCTTGTTGGTTAATAAAAATCTCTCTCACACATAAGAAGACAAGAAAATCTCTCTCTCACACACACGCGCGCGCGTTTCATGCAAGTGAGCACATGTGCATGTGCAGATTTTTAGAACGGCCACGGCTACGTCAAGGCGCATCGCGGTTTCTACCACGACGCGATCTTTGTCAAGCGCAACAACTTCAACCTGCTGCTCCACGAGACGTTCGGCGGCGGCTTCTCGCCCACCGCCGTTCTCAAGCTGCGCCGCCTCGCGCGCAAAGTCGCGCGCGGCAGCGTCGACCGCACGGCCTACTCGCCCAAGTACTCGCTCTCTTTTATGTCCCACCATGCAGAGCGCATCTCTCTCTCTGTTGTGCGAGGCGTGAACCGCGCCATTCGCTCTCACCTGGCAACCCTGTCTGCACGTCTTGCGCGCGCGTGAACAGGGCTCCAGGCCCCAAATGGCGTGTGAGTGTTAGAGTTGTTTTCATGTGCATGTGCATGCGCGACATGTGCATGAAATCGTCAGACTGATTATGTAAAAGAGGAGTGCATAAGATCGGACAGGGCTTGCGATGAGTTTTTGGCGGCAGGGCTGTTCCAGTTATTTATCTTGTGATCACGCGCGAGCCTGTGAATAGGCCCCGGAGGCCTCAACCCTCAACCAACTAAAGGGTTGACGGGGGGTCTCAACCAACCGTCAACCAGATGGTTGAGGGGGGGCCTCAACCCTCAACCCTCAACCCCTCAACCACCCCTCTGGGCCGAAATCGTGGAGCTCTAGGAGTGCAGTGGGTAAAATCACATCCAGGTGGACAGAAGGATCTCAAGTCACGGTTTCCGAGGTCAATGCTCTTCAGAGCGATGCGAAGCATGGTTGTGCTCTCCATCCTCCACGTGTCGCGCGCACTGCTGTTGCCGCCGCGCGCACTGCTGTTGCCGCAGCGCTCACTCGCGCCACGCGCCAGCATCCGCCTCGCCCTCGACAGCCTTCTGGCCAACCCTCGTATCACTGCGAACGACACGTATGCCGAGGAGTCCAGACAGTACCGCCGCACCGTCTATATGCACGACGAGTGGATTAAGCACCGCTCGAGCGACCGCTTCTTCCGCAACATGATGACCATCGGGCAGAGCGGCGTCACGCAGAACCTGGGCGACGAGCTCGTCGTTTTCACTTCGATCGCCACGGCCGTCGTGGGCGCGAACATGCTGCTGCAGTCGTACACTGACCTCGAAGGCGTCAAGCACGCGGGTGCCTTGGCAGGCCTCTGGCAGTGGTGAGAGCCTCCGCATTCAACCCGTGCCCCTTGCCCGCGTTCTCCTCATCCCAGGCTTGTGCTGAGGGAAGGCGCTCGCCTTGTCTGCTCAGGGGCCCGTGGAGCCTGCCATCCATGCCCTTCACCGTGGCGATGCCCGCGCTGTCGCTGCTCCTCGTCTTCCGCACAAATACGGGCTACGCGCGATGGAACGAGGCGCGCACGCTGTGGGGCGGCGTGGTGAACACATGTCGCAACGTGGTGCGCCAGTCCAACACCTTCTACCCGCGCACGCTGGAGGGCAACATGCTGCGCGACCGCCAAAAGGCCAACAGCAGCCGAGATACCGTCGAGTATCGCCGAGATGGCCAAGATGCGGCCGAGATGCGGCCGAGAGACATATGTAGCGACATTCCTATGTGCACGCCTGTTTACACAGGCCAACACCGCCGCCTTCTGCAAGGGGCTGCGCAACTTCCTGCGCGGCCCGACGGACGACGCCGTGTACCGGAGCGAGCTGCTGGAAATGGCCGAGGCGGGCCTCATTCCGCGACGGCAGGTGGACGCCTGCATGGCCGCGAAGAATCGGCCGATGTTTTGCCTCTCCGCCATGTCGCACAACATCCGCCAGGTGATGCTGGACGGCTCTCAGCGCGGCCTCCTCTCGGCTGATGTCTCGGCTGATGTCTCGGCCGCGTCTCCCCCCGTAAGGCGGAGCTCGACCCCATGTCGCGCGCGCGCATGGACCAGTCGGTGGCTATGCTGGTCGACCTGACGGGCGCGTGCGAACGCATCTTCAAGTCGCCCGTGCCGCTGGTGTACACGCGTCACACGGCGCGCTTTCTGACCTCGTTCATGATTTGCGTGCCGTTCGGGCTATGGGAGGCGACAGGCAACTACTGGAACCATTGGCTGACCATACCGGCGACGGCCTTCCTCGCCTTCTTCCTCTTCGGCATCGAGGAGATCGGCATCCAGATCGAGGAGCCCTTCTCCATCCTGCCGCTAGAGGCGTTGTGCAGCGGCGCCATCTCCGCCACGATGGACGAGATGGTCGAGGCCAACGAGGCCGAGAGTTTCCTCTTTGACGATGAGCTCGCCGCCCTGCCGACCCCCTCCCCGTCGCCTGTCTCGAAGCCGGGCCGCGTCATCAAGGTCGGCTCGGTGGAGGTTATCGTCGGCGGCTCGGTCGTGCCGACGTCACCGAAGTAGTGACTTCTGGAGCTCGGATACATTCTGAGATCAGGTTCCACTGGTAGAGCCGTAGGGTCTGACTGCCGTACCCCTAGGTTAGCTCTTAGCGCAACGAAAACACTTGGCGAAACCGTCCCTAGACGCCTTGTACCCAAATCGAGCATCCCAAAGAGTCTTGGTTCGGGCGTCACCAGCCTGCACCATGGCCCATGGGCTAGTGGTAGTGCCATTTCCGCACTCTGACACGCTAACGTAATCTTGAAAACGTCTCCAACGGAGCTCCGTGTTGCTTCCAGCGCCCTCCCCCGCGCTCCCTGCGGCCATGGCCGATGATCCTAGGAAGAGAGGTCATCTGGCTACCGCGAGAGCGACCCAACTCGTCGACATCGTCCGATGATGGTGCCGCAAAGTCAGCCTTCGGAGGCTATCGTGGCGTCGAGCCGGCAGTAGCCGTGACATGTGGTTCCACCACCCCTCTTAGGCTTTGCCTCTGACCGCCACCGTTCCCAGGCTGCCTACTGGGATGGAAAGGAAGGCTCGGCGAGCGTATAGAAGCGTGCTCGACCTCGTCGTGGCAACCTGTACGGCAGCGCTGGTAGGCGCGATGAGCGTCGTGCCACCTGACCCAAGACGGGTCGCAGGCGTCGTACCGAGCGTGTCGAGACCGTGTCCTGATGTGATCTGCACGGGTGAGTCACGTCGGCGTCAAAGGAGCGACGTGCGACCTGTCAGAGCTTGATCTCCGATCTCAGAGGCGTCGAGTCGTCTCCGGCGCGCAACAAATGTACCTCCCCAGGACGCGCAGAGGCTGCTGCGACCCCGCTGAGTGGACGGGCGCACACAGCGCCACCTGCTGTGTGCCGCCGTCTACTCGGTGGGGTCGCAGCTGCCTCTGGAAGGCACCGAGGTGTACCTTTTTGCGCAAATGGTCAAATCAAGGTTTTGTAACGCGAGCTGTGCCACAGTGAAATGGCACTAGCCATGGGGAGGCGCAAAGTCCCTCCGAGGTCCGCGCCCCCGCGCGTCACAGACTTCAAACATCCACCCGCCCTCGGGCCACTCAGACAACACCAGCTCTCCGCAGCACCACAGCATCCCCTGCCCGCCGGCAACCCCCGACGGACCGCCGTACCGCACACGCAAGCGGCGCGCACGACGTTCACGCTCTTCCGTGTCCAACCGTGTTGGGCAGTGATTTGGGGCACGGGCTAGCTCCGATCCAGACGCGTCATCGAGTATCGTAGAGAGACGCCCGCGAGAGCGGGACACGCGGATTATCGAAGCGCACGCGCCCCCTGCACACAGGGAGGAGGACGACGACGAGGAATTCGACGGCCTCGCATACAAGGTTGCACGCCTGAACGGCTCGATCGGCTCCGGGGCCAAGCGCAAGTTCATCGTGCAGTGGCAGGGGTCAAACTTCAGGGGCGACACCGTTGAGCCCGAGGCGAACGTGTGGCCGCCCCGACGGTCGCGGTGACTCAGCAGCCGCTATCGGACTTTCGGACCGCCTTGCACCGGCGCGTCTGCTCCCGCAGGATAGGGGAGCGCGTGCCTGCGTGGGAGATCCCGCTGCCGATTCCCTACATCCACGACGAGGCGGTGGCGCGCGGGCTCATCTCTTTCCTGCGCCAGAGGCGCGGAGGCGGCCTCCACGCGCTCGCAGGCGAGCTCGATCTGCAGCTCGAGCAGCAGCTCGACGTCGCGGACGCCGTCGCCTTCCACCACATTGACCCTTTGAAGAGCGTGGGCAACGTGCGCATTAGATGCGGGGGCGCGTCCTACGAGGACATGGCGCTCCTCTCCCGCCTCCGCCTGACCTTTTCGGGCCGCACGCTCACGGCCTACCTCACGCTAGTGATCTTCAACGGCTAGACCGGCATGCCCTCGTTCCCAAAGGCGGGCAAGCAGGTCAAGTACTCCCTGGGCGAGCGCAACATCCTGGTGAAGCACACGAAGAGGGCGCTCCTGCAAGAATGGGCGCCACTGCCGATCCCCACCTTCTTACGGAAGGTGGGGTGGCACGCTCTGCCAGACGGGGTGGCGGGCTGGCGCCTCCCCGATGCGGTGACGACGGGCCGCGCCCGCCTCGAGCTCCCCCCCCGCCTCTGGCCCAAGACGGCGGCCGACATCGGCCGCCCGTGGCCGGCAGAGTATTCGCCCGCGGGCTCGGTGCAGCTGCAGGCTTGAGAGTTTTTGCTCTAGTTCGGGACCAGGTGGTCCATTAGGAACCATCTCTTTTTTTGGTATTACGGGCGCATGTTACTCTCTTTAGTCACGTTTAGAGTTCTCAAATACCGGGGGGTCTCAGCTCGCGTTGCGCGCCGCCACCGCCTCGGCGTACTCTGGGTCGACAAGTGCAACGTGAGTCCGAGCCGCGTGCCCGCTTCTCATGAAGTAGAGCGTCTTCAAGCAGAGCTCGACCACGTTGTCGACGTGCCAGCGCGCGAGCATCGTCGACAAAATATGCACCTGTCGCGACCACAAGCCGCTCCCCTTCTTCAGGAAGGAGACGGCGCCGCTGCGCTGCTCGGCCGCGGCCGACAGGACGGCGTTCCGCCTCTGGAGGCGGAAAACCATTCCCGCGAGGTGTCGCCTCCGGCGCTCCACGTCCGCCAACTCGCTCTTCAGCTCCAGGTTGGCTTGCTCCATCTCCTGCACGCGCCGACGCAGCAGGCGCGTCTCGTCGTCGCCGCCTCGCGTCTCCATCCGCCTAGGCGTCTACTGCGGCCCCGGCGTCTACTGAGGCCCCGAGGCCGCGCTCGCGGGAGGGGCTCATGGTCATGCAAAGCATTGGGTGGCTCTGTGCATCGATGGCCCGAGAGCCGGCGCGCCGCGCGCGCGACATGTGTCATGTCAAACCTAAAGAATGTCATGTCTCAGTTCATGTTATTTTTTGATATCGGTTGTGTCCCAGAGCAGCTGTCTCCTCTCTCTCTCGACACTGACAGGATATTGAGATATATTCACATGTCAATACTGTATACGCGTGTGGACTGTGGTCCACTAGGTTAGAGGTGACACCTGGTCGGCAGGTCCTCTACTCTAGTACCTCCTGCCTCCAGCCTCTCCACACGCTCCACACATACCCACTTCTCCCCCCCCCCCTCCACTTCCCCGTGCTCCCCGTGGTACTCTGTGCTCACTGTTGCTGCATGCCCGTTGCGTACGCACTCTCATGCGCGCTGGGCCGCCTCCACCGCCATCCTGGCGGCCGCCGCCTTGGCCCTCGCAGCGGCAGTGGCCGCGCGCTTCTCCTTGGCAGCGGCCAGTTTCGCCTCGGCCGCCGCCGCTTCGGCCGCCGCCAGCGCCACCGCCGCCGCTGCCGCCGCCGCCGCCGCCTCAGTCACCGCTTCCTCCTCTGCGGCAGCCTCGTCCTCCGCCTCCGCCTCCTCCTCCGCCGCCTCCGCCTCCTCGGCCAGCCGCGCCGCCTCGGCCACCTCTGCCGCCGCCGCCGCCTGGCTCTCCGCCGTGATGCCGAATCGCATCCTCTCCTCGGTGAGCGTCTCGAGAAGCAGGAGAAGCCTCGCCTCCTCGGCCTTCTTCGCTGCCTCGGCTGCGTCTGCCTCCGACGGCGCCTCGGTACCCTCCTCGGGCTCCTGCGACGGCCCCGCCCCGCCCGCCCCGCCGCCCTTCTTCTTCTTCTTGCCCTTCTTGCCGTTGGCGCGCTTCTCCGCCTCGACCTCCGCCAGCAGCTCCTCGGCGTGCCGCGCCGCCTCCTTCTCCTCCGCCGCCCTCTGCGCCGCCCTCTCCGCCGCTCCCGCGGCCCACGCCGCCTCCTCCGCCGCCTTCTCCGCCGCCTCCGCAGCCTTCTTCGCCGCCTCCGCCGCCGCCTTCTCGGTCGCCGCATGCTCCTCGAGGGCGCGCACGCACTTGGTGTGGCCCTGCTCCTTGGCCCACTGCAGCGCGGTCTTGCCACTCGTGTTGCACACCGTCACGTCTGCGCCCGCCCGCAGCAGCTGACGCACGACGGTGAGGTGGCCGCGGAAAGCGGCCTGAATCAGTGCAGTGTCGCCGGCGTTGGACTGCTGGTCGATCGCCGCGCCGTGCCGGATCAGCGAGTCGACCACTGTCTCTTGGCTTTTGCCGGCGGCCAATATCAGCGCGGTATTCCCGAAAAGCTTGCTTCGCTGGTCGATCGCCGCGCCGTGCCGCAACGCCAACTCGACCAGCTTCACGAAGCCATTCACGGCGGCGAGACTCAGCGCGGTGCCGCCGTCGCCAGACTGCAACGAGACATCGCTGGTCTGCAACGAGACATCCGCGCCGCGCTGGAGCAGCGCCTCGGCCAGCCCCTCGTGGCCCTTCATCATAGCGAGCATCAGCAGCGTCATGCCGCTCAGAGAGCCGCTCGAAAAGACGTAATCGAACGCCGCGTCGACCCGCCCGCCGCCGTCGAGCCACGCCAGCACCGCCTCCTCATCGCCTCGCCGAGCCGCTAGCACAACCTCCTCTGACAAAACCCCGCTGCTCGGCTCGGCCTCCTCGCCACCCTCGCCGCTCGGAGCAGAGGCCGCGGCACTCGCACCCGCCGCCCCTGCGCCGCCTGCTTCGGCCGACGGTGCCTTGCTCCGGCTCACCGCCACCTCCCTGAGGTACGTCTTGAAGGCCTGGACGCACTCGACGTGGCCCCTTTCCTTGGCCCACTGCAGCGCCGAAAAGCCATTCTCGTCGCGCAACGTCATGTCTGCGCCCGCCCGCAGAAGGCGGAGCACGACGGCGGGGCGGTCGAAGTAGGCGGCGAGAATCAGCGCGGAGCCACTGTTCTTGTACTGCAGGTCGATCTCCGCGCCACGCCGCAGCAGCAGATCGACCACCCGCTCTTTGCCGCCGTGGGCGGAAGATACCAGCGCCGTCCCGATCTCCGCACCGTGCTGCAGCAGCATCTCCACCATTCGCTCGCGGCCGTAGTAGGCGGCATTGCTGAGCGCAGTGGTGCCGCGACTGGTTTGCAGGTTGATCTCTGCGCCACGCTTCAGGAGGAGCTCGACAATCTGCGCGTGCCCGTGCTGTGCGGCGATCATCAGCAGGGTGCATGGAATCGGACGGCCGCTGACCTCAGAGGGCAACTCAGCGAGAGTGTCGGCTTTCCCGCCGTCATTCAGCCACAGTCGCACCGCTCCCAAGCGGCCATTCTCGGCCGCCTTCAGGACGTTCTTTGGGACTTCGCCACCCGGCGCGCTGTCAGCAGACGGCGGCGACGGCGGCGTGCGGAGCGCGGCGTTGGCGCGGGAGCGCGAGGTGGGCATGACTGCTGTGGGCTGGCGGAGAACGGTGGGCTCTGACTCCGTGCCAAAATTCTTCTTGAGCCTGTCTGCTGTGAGAGAGGTTCTCGAGGTTCTCGAGGTGGATATCCTTTGGCCGCGTTGGGTAGCGAGGATTGGTGTGACGCGATCCACGCAGGGTGTTTTCTGACGGCCGACCGTCAGTGCACGGAGTTGCCCCTTCTCCGACTGCCCCGGCTAGTTCCCGAGGCTCGCCGGGTTTCCCCTACGTCACCCAGGACCTAGCGCGGGTGGGTTGGAGGGGGCTCGCCCCGTTCCTCCCCATCGGGCCGCATAAGCGGCCACGCCTCGCAGATTCGTTTCTCGCGCCTGGGTCGTGAGAGAGAGTTCTTTTGTTTAAATTCTTCTTGAGCTAGCCGGCCCTGGAAGTCAGGTTAATAACTGCACTCCAAGTGCTCCAAGCTAAGGAGGCGGATTTCGATCCTGGGCAGCGCTGCGGTTTCCTTTGTTACTCTCCTGTGGGCGGGAGGGAGGGGTCGGATGGCGGTGCCCGAGGCGTCGGTGGTGGCGCCGGCGGCGACGGCGGCGTTGAAGGCGTCGGAGACGGCGGCGGTGATGGCGGCGGTAGCAGAGGAGGAACGAGGAATGGCGGCGGCGAACTGGACAACAGCACCACGGGGACGAAGATAAGGCCGGCCATAAACCTACTACTGAGCTGCTCTCGCTCTCGGGACGTACGTGGAAGCTTTTGCGCGGTCGCTCTTTTCTTTTTCAGTTGTAATTTTTTTCAGTGACCCGCTCCGCCCTACCACTCTCTTAAAGGCGCGGCTCTCTCCCTAGCTCTCTACAAGCTTGCACAAGCATCTAGAGTCTCTCGCTACCTAGGTCGATGCGGCTGCCTCTGCGGCGTCGTAGGAGCTCAGCGACCAGCCGATGTCGTACGAACCCGCGTCTGCCGCCGGCCCTTCCGGCCAGCCATGCTTCGCGCGCGCATCATAGCCATAGAAGTTCAGTGCCGCCAGAGGCGCCTCGAATGACCTCGTGGTCTTTGGCTCAACGTGATGGTGTTGGGCGTGGATCTTGTCGTCGGCGTGGTGGATCTTGGCGGAGTCGCTGGTGCCAGACCTCCACCACGAAGGAGCCACCTTCAACGCCTCGGCCGCCTCGTGCCACGCGGCTCGGACAGCATCCGGCGCCTCTCCCGAAGAGGCTTTTTCGGTGGTCTCGGGCCGCCCGCAGTCGGCCAACGTATGGCACGGGCGGACGAATTGAGTAGGAGCGTACCTCTTCTCCTGTGAACAGGCGGACTGGCGTCAGTATCAAACTCTCGCCTCCCGCAGCTGTGCTCGAGCCGGCGCCATGGGCAAAGTTTCCGGCACAGCTGCTGCGTAGATGCGCGAGGCATGCGCAGCAAGAACGATGATTGTCAGGGCCCCGCCTAGAGCGGCCACGGTGCGCGGCCAGCGTCGGCGTTCGTCCTGCCAGCCTGCGTCGGCGTTTATTTGCATGCCGATGGCGATGGGGACACGCGTGAAAAACGGCGTTTGCAAAAAAGACATTTCCGCAGACGGCAGGGGTGCTCGGCGTGAAAAAAATGGAAAAAGAAATAAGTTATTTTTTCCTGCTGAAAAGCATCGCAAACCCTGTCAGCAGTCCTCCTCCGGGAATGTACGTAAGAGCCACATCCATTGAAAAGCGACACGCGCTGCTTACTTGTAACCTATTGCCCCGGGCCTATTGGTACAACACGGTCTCATATCTTCCCCGGGATGCACGAGATGCTCTTTGGCAGGCCCTGCAGCCGCAGCAGCCGGTCGCAGCCGCCGCCGCCGCCATCCACCAGCCGCAAATCGACGAAGATGGGGGAGTTTGGAGGCACCTTGAAGAGGCCTCGCCCGCCGGGGCGCGGCAGCCCCTCCGCGCCGTACGCGGCGCTCGCCGGCACCACCAACCGCCTCCAGCCGCCCTCACGCATACCAAGCACCCCCTCGTCGATGCCGGCCGGCACTGTCGTAGTTGGGATGTACGGAGGACCGACGACGACTGCCGACGGCTCGCCCAGGAACCACATGCTGGGACGCCCGTCGGCCGCCCAGGTCGCGTACGCGGGCTCGCCGGCGTCGAAGGAGCTGCCCCACACCTTGATGTGGACGTAGACGCGGTCGCCCAGAGCGGGCAGAGGGCCGTCGCCCTCGACGAGGTCGATGACGCGGAGGCCGCTCGGCCGCAAAACGCCAGCCTCCGGGGAGCGGCTCGCTGCGCGCAGCTCCTCGTTCGAGGGTGTCGCAAGCGCTGCGCTCGGTGCGAGGAGCGTCAAGGCGCCGGCGCCGGCCGCCGTGAGCGCCTGCCGGCGCGTCGCGGGTGGCCGTGCAGCAGCTCGGAGCGCAGCAGCAGCAGGTGGCGCAGGCCGCACCGAGAGGACGAAGAGCGTTGCGAGCATCTCTTCGGTGGGGCCGGCCCGTTCTTTGTACCAGTCCAGTCGCTGTCTGCTATAGCCGCAGCCTGCCGCAGCCACTCCCAGCTGCTCGGTGTGAACAGAGTTCGTACACCGAGCAGCAGGGAGCTCCGCAACTCGAGATCCCTCGAGAGTTCACGCGGAGTCGGCTGGGGCTATACCAGACAGGTCCAGTCGCCGCTTGCTCCTCGGCCGAGAGAACACACACACAACGACGCAACCAGTGCGCACACCTGCCGCTTCAGTCGCGGCAAGCGTCGGTGCCTGGCGGGAGGTCGCTATTAGGGATCCTATGGCACAAGTCGTGAAGAAGCCTCGTCGACTCGTCCCCTGGCCCTGCCTGTGATCGCCGCGCAGCCACACGCCACACCGCAAACCAATTCCTCCGGCTCTCCCAGGGGAGGGGGGCCGCGACGACGAGCCTTTTTCTCGCTGTGTCGCCCCCTCACAGTGGGCTCAAAGGCGTGGCCTGTACCCGCAGGGCCTGTACTGGCCCCGTTATACTCCCCGCGCACACACACACACACACAAACGAGGCTCATGTCACTTGGTCGCCACGTGGCGCACCTCCGCCGCCACCCTGGCCGCCGCCTCGGGCTTTAGTCGCGCCGCCGTCTGCGCGAGCTCGGGCAGAGCGCCGAGGAGGCGCTCGCGCCGCTGGTCGCTCTCCTCAATCTGGGCGTACATGCGCAGCCGCGTGGCGTGGCGCTCGTCCTCATGGATGCGCGCGCGCTGCGAGAGGCGCACCGAGAAGAAGAGCGCAATGCCGGCCAGCAGGAGCCCGGAGTAGATGAACTGCCGGTCCCGCCGCAGCGCCAGCTCCTCCTGCTGCCGCTTGAAGGCGGCGAAGGCGGCGTCGGAGTCGCCGCTCGCAGCGGCGGCGACCATCCGCCCGCCCGGGGAGGAGGAGGTGCTCTGAGAGCGCTGCGAGGCGAGCCGCGGCAGCGCAGTGCAGCGTCCCAACATGGCGGCTTGCTTCGCTTCCCAACGCGTCACGACCCCGCATTTCTTTTTACCAAGAGCGGCGCCTGCTAACCTCTCTTGCGAGGAGCGCGGGGCTCGTCTTCGGAAAGACCAGGATCGCTCTACTGGCAAACTTCTGGCTGACACGCGCGCCCCGTCGAGCTGACGGCGGGCGCGCTGCGGTCGCACGCCCACCCAAGTCATATGCCATGGCGTGCGATCTAGAATCAGCCCACGCGCCTCTGCTCGCAAACACTCACCCATTGAATTGTCACTGCCCGTGAGTGCGAGATAGGGCTAGCGGCTGGCCGCTAGCCTCTGAGGAGGGCGTCCATAGACACCTCACATGACCCCACACACGGTCTCGTCCGTGCCTTGCGGCTGGCGGCGAGATTGCTAGAGGCGGAGCAAGCCTGCTCTAGTCTCACACGTTCGCCCCTGTCGCCTGTCTGTGTTGTTGTGCTGTTGTTTGTCTCTTGGCACCTTGGAGTGCTGGGGGGGGCGACAGGGGGGACGTGGCCTGAGTGATGTGTACGCCCACTCAGGATGTGTGGCAGCCCGCTGGCTGTGTGTCTTGTGAGCTTGTTTGTGTCTGTGTGTCGCTCGTGCGTGTCGTCATCATCTGTCCAGCGTCCACCCATACCGCGTTGGTGTCCAGTCCGAGCCTGACTGTTCTTCGCCTTCCTACATACATACATACCAAGTGGTACCAGGTGTGTGTGTGTGTGTCCGCCGTTCATGGAGGCAACCGATGCGAGTCGACTGGTGTGTGTCGTCGTGGTTTCGTATCAAGAATACTCACTCACTCACATGGTACCAGGGTAACCGCGGCCGCTGCCTCACGCCGTAACGCACGCGACCTTGAGCACTTGAGCACTGGATAGGGTCGATTCCGCATGTACGGGACCCCTCGATCGTCTCGCCCTCACTGGTGTGTTCATTGCACAATGGGAGGGGTCATCACAAACACGGTACATACAGGATCGAGGTGCACGCCGCTGAGGGGCTGAGGGACCCGCGGACCCCAGAGGGTGTTTCGAGCGGTGTCGTCCCCCCCTCTCCACGCATCTCACTGGGAGACGTCGCGGCGGTGATGGCGGTGTGACCGATCGAGCTGAGCCCTGGCTGTCAGGCTGTCAGGTGCTGTCAGGTGATCGATCTGTCGGGCTGTCGGGCACTGTCAGACACTGTCAGGTGCCTCTGTCAGACCAACTGTCAGGTGCTGTCAGTGCTGTCGGGTCAGTGTCGGGTGCTGTCGGGTGCTTGTCTGACATCAGAGGTGATCTGTAGCTGTCGGGTGCTGTCGGAGCTGTCGGGTGTTGCTGTCAGACGCTGTCGGAGCTGTCAAAGCTGTCAGGCTGCTGCTGCTGTCAGACGTAGGGCCGGTGCTGTCAGGTGCTGTCAGGTGGTGCTGTCCGGGGCGCTGTCAGGCTCTGACACACACCAGCCACACTTATGACACTATCAAGAGGATACCAGCAGGACTCTGCTGCACATACTCTAGTCTCTACTCTGCCTCCGGTCCAGCTCCCACCATCCTTTTTTCATGGTGGACGTCACCATCTTCTTGTCTGCCGCACTGAGAGAATAGCAGAGAGGCAGGGGGGAGTGCTTCTTCAGGTACACCTTGCTGATGATCTGGTAGTTGCTGGTCCAGCGGAAGGCCTCCCCATCGTTGTCGCTCGTCAGCTTGTAGTACTTGCACGCTCTGTTCTGGTAGCGCGGGCCGTCTGGGGGGGTCCCGTCACCCTTTTCACCTCACGGTACAACCGGAGGATAAAGAGGCCCTTGGGGTCGTTGATGAAGACCCCGTTGCTGCGCTGACTCATCGAGAGCTGGCGCAGGTACTCTGCGCTCGAGCTGCCAGTGGCGCGGCGCGCGTCTACCGTGCCGTCGGCCGCGGCGGCCGCCTGGGGGGAGCGCAGATGGCGGCGGCGGCACAGACGGCGGCGGCCACCACCACCCAGACGCCGTAGGCATGTAGGGCCCCAGAAGGCTAGCTGGTAGCTTCATAATTTGTAGTAGCACAGCCGCGGGTCCGCAGAGGTGGGGCGGGAGAGGGTTGAGAGAGAGACCCATGACCATCCCATGACTAGATAGACCACACTCACATGTCTTTGCATGTAATAGTTTTGTTATACCCTCATGGGGCACAAGAAAGAGGCTGCACGGCCTGTGTACGGTCTGTGCTGCTGTCGGGCTGGTCGGGCTGTCGGGCGCTGTCAGCGCTGCTGTCAGGCCACTGTGTGCTGTCGGGCTGTCGGGCAGCTGTCAGGCTGTCACGTTAGGGCCTGACAGCGACGGGTCACCTCTGATGTCAGGCTCTGCTGTCAGGCTGTCAGATACGTGCTGTCAGGCTGTCAGAGAAAGTGCTGTCAACGCTGTCAGGCTGTCGGGCACTGTCAGGCGCTGTCCGGGGTTTGCTGTCGAGTGTCGTGCTGTCAGACCAGGGGCAGGGCTCAGCGATCGAGCTACAAAGAGGAGCTTGTGTGTTCAGCAATCAGCATGTGTGATCAGGGTGAGCCGAGCAGTTCTCACTTCCTCGAGGGGGGGTGGTCTGAGTAGCCGGGTCTAGCCCTCACGATACGTATTGTACAGTGAATTGTTGCATGTTGGGGGAGAGTTCTCTGGCTTTTCAGCATCGTCCCATATTGATATGAGATAACGGAGACCTACAGGAACTAGGTAGAACGGCGGGTAACGCGGGGGCCGGGAGACGGAGCTCCGGCCTCTGCCGTCGACTGAGCTTCTCCTCCACTCAACCTGCGAGCTTGCGGGGGCCGCCCTCTCCCCAAAAACAACCCTCACACTACGGCCGGCCTGAACGCGGCTCTTTACCTCTCACAATCACCTCGAGGACCGCCGCCGCCGGGCAGCCCGCTTGGACGGGCGATCGGACGAGGCTCCGTCTGTGCCGCCGCGCTCGCCTCCTTCGGCCGGCAACCCCGCGGACACGGCGCGGCGGTCGATCCGCGCGCGCAGCTCGTCGCGTCGCTCGATGTACGCGCGGTAGTCGCCCTGCTCGGCGTGAAGCCGCCCGCCGCGCAGCTCGGCCACCTTGCGTTGCGAAGACGCGAAGGTCAGGGTGCGAGTACGGTGCATCATGCCGCGCATGCGGCGCATAGACAGCGATACGAATACAGCCTCGCGCGAGCACACGATGGAACGCAGCCGAGAGGAAGGCAGGGAGGCCGCATCCTTCTAGAGGCTTCGGCCACCCGCGTGGCGACGTGCGCGGCAAAGGCGCGGTCGTGCGAGACGAGGAGCACCGCGCCGTCGAACGACCGGAGCGCGTCGCCCAAGTACTCTCGCGCGCGCAAGTCGAGGTGGTTGGTCGGCTCGTCCTGCACGCAGAGGGAGGTGCAGCGTCATATGCTGGCCTTGCCTGCTTTCGCCTCTCTTGCCCG